ATCTTTGCTCTTCAACACTTTAAAAAGGTCTTGTGCAGCAGATTTGCCTAATGCAATACGTTGTCTGATTTCTTGACTGCTGCTTCCATGAGTATTGATAGTTGATCCAAGAAGAATGAAGTCCTTGACAACTTCAATCTTTTCTCCATTGAGAAAAATGTTTATTGATCCAGTGGTGAGGATTTTTGTTTTCTTTACACTGAGATTGCATTTTTTAGGATGAAATAAAGTGTATGGTTTGTTGAATGTAAAACTGATGGTCGTGTCTATAAACCTTCACTCAAACCATAATAGAAAGTTTGAAAAATAAGTTAACATACTTACTACCATTATTTTAAAAGAAAGATTATAGACTATGGCACCTTTTGGGGCAGTTATGCTCTGGCCTCTAGGGTCTCTGGGAATTGAGGCAGTGGCCCACAACAACACGTCAGGCTGGGGCTCACAGTACACTTTTGCTCTTACTGTTCTTTGGTTTTGAGCGTTGGTATGTGTGTGCATAATGTCTGTCTGCTTTCACCAGATGAGATGAGTGACGGACTCACAATGTACCCACAGTGCTTGACACATAGCACATGTTTAACCAATATTTGAATAAATGTGAATGAGTGAATGAGCTTATGATAATTAAATGAGACAGTAATGTGAACTACTTCAAGGAAGCAGTCAATACATAACTATTGTTTGGGCTGGAGTCCTTGGGTGGTTCAAACAGTTAATGGTTAATGTACTCAGCTGCTCACTGGAAGGTAGGGGGTTCGAATCCACCCTGAGAGGCCTCAGAAGAAAGTCCTGGTGATGCAGTCCTGACAAATCAGCCATTGAGAAAACCCCTGTGGAGCACAGTTCTCCCCTGAAACAAGATCACCATGAGTCACAGCTGACTCCTCACAACGGATTGTTTGGGTTTATTCTTTTGATCACTTTCAGCTGCAAAAGCCAAATTAACTCTTAATTTTGTATTTATTTGCCAAATATAATCTTCAAGACCATCTCAGAAAATTCTTCTGGCTCATGCTGTTGTCAAACATGTCACTTGAGTGGTAAACTTACCAATGCGCCTGCCTGTGAGCTCACCACCCCTGGAGAATCCCGAGCTGCGCTTCCGCCCACATTGCCTCAACCAGCCAGCCATCTTCCTCCTCCTCCACCACCACCACCACCGCCACCTCCTCCTCCACCTCCTCCGCCTCCTCCTCTTCCTCCTCCTCCAACACCCCTAGCACCATTGCTGCTCAGAAAAGCTGATCGCACGAAATCACTTCAGGTAAGAAACTATCATGTCAGTATGTTTTGGTCAGTTTGTAATGAATGGCCTTTTGACGTTGGACTAAGGCTTTTGACAGAAAGGCTGCATGGTTTAGTGATTTCAGATCTTAATTATATCAGTTGTTGTGTTTTTAAAACTCATTTCCCCAGGAACTCACAAAAACTTGATTTAAGAATTAAAGTGATGTCTTTCTTTTTTAAAAAGAATCAAATGAATCAATTACAGCAGAGTGGAAGATCCCTATTAGCTTCTCAGCATATCCTTTTACAATAAAGGAGACTTTCCTGGGAAACCAAATTAAGAACAGAAGTTTACTTAGTGATTGAAGTTGGAATAAAAAGAGTTGGCAGATTTTAAAGTTTACTCATTAAACTGGAGAATTAGACTTCATTACAGTTATTTGTCTGCTAAGGAAGCCTGAATATCTGTAAATCACTAAAATAGGTGCCACCCTGTTAAAAATCTGTAAAATTTTCATTATCAATACAATTGGTTTAAATGATTCTCTGAGTTAAATCTAGAGCCTACTGTTGTATTTGACCTAATGTAAACTGTTCTTACTATAAACTCTTGTAGGAGCTGGAGTGATTTTTCTAAGTAATTTAGGCAAAACTTCTTTTTGATCTGAGTAACTCCTTCAATTTCTACCTTAATATAATAACTCCAGGGGAAGATTCATTGCTGCAGGGAATTACCATCTGTTATTTACTCTCAAAGCTTAAATTTTGATGAATACCTTTTTAAATAGCCTCAGCATCCATGGGTACTGAATAAAGAATTATTCTTGGTTGAGTAGATATCATTTGTTATGTTCCTAGGACAAGTAAGAGCATACACTGTTAACTGTTAAGTTTTTAAAATTAGATTTGAAGTAACATTTGATCTGATACCCTGGTTCCAATATGAATTCTAACTTCTTCATGTATATTAAGGCTGGACCAATCAAAAGAGATGGACCCATGCAGATAACAGTTAAAGATCTACTGACTGTGAAATTAAAGAAGACACAAAGTTTTGATGAAAGGCAGAAGGTAGAGCATTGACCATATTCTTAGCATTTGTGTGTATGTGTGTGATTCTTCAGAAAGGCAGCAGAAGAGATTCTTTATTTATTGTGTGCATCTTATACTCAGCCACAATTGGGAGAACACATTCATAATGCCACAGGTCCAGGGCAAAGGATCCAAATGGTTTGGTACGAGCAGAGTTGAGTCTTTCAATTGTTCTGGTGATTGGATGGTGATGGACATTCTAGATCCATTGAGAGAGATGTTCTAAACACTAGCATGTAATCCACAACTTGTAGCAGCATCCCCTGCCTCCAGGAATCCTTATCCCTGCTGCTGTGGTCTCCATGGGTGCATGTACTAGCAATTTACTTGGACCTCTGCTGCATCTTTCTTCTTTTGCCTTTCAGCTTACACATTTGTTTGAATCCCCACTTGACTCTCACAATTCAGAGGTTTCTAACAAGATGGCAGTAAGGCCAAGAACGGTCTGTTAGCTTTTAATCTGGCTATTCTTTTAATCTGGTTAGTCTTCGTGTGGCACTATAGGACAAGCACTGGACTGCAAAGTTGCTTTGAACTGCAAGGTCAGTGGTTCAAATCTGCCGGCTGCTCCTTGGAAACCCTATACAGGGTTGCTATAAGTCAGAAGTGACTCAGTGACATTTAAAAACAATAAAAACAAAATTCTTTTATAGAAAATAAGCAAAAGCCTTATATATAAAAGTTATTCCAAGAAAAGCACGTGATGATTTATTTTAGTAGTTTTGGATCTCTTCCACAAAATGAAGAATTATTTAATTAATTAGATAGTTAGCTACCAATCATTAGTCTAAAGAAGTTATGACATACTTCAAAGTTTTGGAATGAAAATTGAAAATAGTAGATGAGATAAAAGTTAAACAGAATAGTAGATAAGTCTTACCACATACTCAGTACTCAAATATGTGTTGTTTCAGCATGTTTAAATTTGTAATACTATTTTTAAATGTGTGTTTAATAATGTTTCATTTTGCAATTAAAGCTTGGACCATCTCCAAAGGCTCAGAATCCCCTTATTACCGTCTCTGACCTGCAGCGTGTCACCCTGAAGCCTAACTCCAAAGTATTATCAGCTCGAGTTACTAATGTCTTAATGTAAGGAACTTCACAGTCATATGCTCTACTAAAAGAATACATTTTTGCTGTTTCTGACATTAAGACTTGTATATGCTCACTGTAGAAAGATGAGATCTAGTTGTTGTTATAGAGAAGTTTAAAGAATATACCAAGTATCCATATAACCCTATCATTGAAGATAACCACTGTTAACATTTTAGTCTTTCTCTAGACATTTTCACTACTGCCTTCATTTTGATGCTCTGTCTACTGTAAGATACACCATTGATTTTGCATAAAAAGAAATACTACCAAGTATTTTAAACACAGCCTGATTTCATAAATAATAAAATATAAAAATAAGCGTGTGTTGGAGTCAAGAGAATATGGCCCCCTTTAGTATGCCATGACCTTTGCCCTACATTATTAAAAATTATTTTAAAGCATTTTGACTACTTCAAAATATGCAGTCCATTGTATGTAAATTTCATAGGTAACAGCCTGTTTTGAGACAGTTAGGTTGCTTATGACTTTTTATTTAGACATTTTGTTCCTATAACTCTAATGAATGCCCTTTCTGTCATCCATGTGCATAGCTGAGTGTTTTCCTAGGATGGGTTCTTACATATGCAATTACTGAAGCAGGAAGTATTACTTAATAGAATGGTTACAGCACTTTATTCTCCCATGAGCATCTACTGCTATTTTTTAATGCAACAAATAGAACTATGTCCTAAGAAATTGCTTATAAAAATGACTGCTTTGCTTTTAGAAAAATGACTTGAAAAATCTAACAAATCTAACTTTCATGTTATTTATTTTATCAGAACTCCTGGTAAAAGCCAAATAGATTTACGGAAACTACTTAGGAAAGTCGACGTGGAGAGGTAATACATGCTTACGTTGATGCTTTCAAATCTTTTTGAAAAGTTGGTATAAAACACACCTCCGAACGTTTGCAATACTTTTGCAGGAGCCCAGGTGGAACCCCTCTTACTAATAAAGAAAATATAGAAACAGGAACTGGACTGACCCCAGTAATGACCCGGGCCTTGAGGAGAAAATTCCAGGTAGGCCTTCATAAATAGTAATTTTGTTTCCTTTTCTTCAAAATAATTTATTTAATGTGGCTCTGTGGATCAATACTGGACTGCTAACCAATTTGTCGGCAGTTCAGACTCACCAACTGCTCCTCATAAACACTATGCCAGGTCACTATGAGTTAGAACCGACTCAGTGGCACTTAACAACAACAACAATATAATCTAAAGCAGCATTCTTAATATATATAATAATATTTTTTGATAGTCCCTTGTACTTTGCAGAGAAGCCTTGGTGGCACAGTGGTTAAAACGCTCAACTTCTAACCTAAAGGTTGCTGGTTTGAGCCCACCAGCTGCTCCACAGGAGAATGATGTGGCAGTCTGCTCTCTTAAAAATGGACAGCCTTGGAAACCCTGTGGGGCAGTTATTATCTGTCCTAAAGGGTTACTATGAGTTGAAAATGATTCTAGGGCAATGGGCTTGGTTTTGGGTTTTGTTATACTATTTAGACTTCATAAACTTCTATGTGATAGCAAGGATTATCGTTTCTACCTTATCAATGAAAGTCTAATTTTATTAGTTGGTTTTGTAAGCCTGGTGTGATGCTGTGGGATAAGCACTAGACTGCGAACCTCAAGGTCAGCAGTTCAAACCTATCAGCTACTTCTCAGAAACCCTATGAAGGGTCACTATGAGATGGAGCTAACTCAACAGCACTTAACAACAACAACCTATATGCTTGGCACTGTGGTGGAGAACCCAGAATACAGTGGTAGGCAAAAGCAGATACAGATTTACCACCTTGGAACTTTCTGTCTAGTGGGGTTAATAGACATTAATCTAATAATCATATACTTGTATTATTTCGTACTGAAGTAAGTTCTGTGAAAGAAAGGGACAAGGTTTCATGGGAACCCATAGGAATGTGATGTAGCCTGAACAATCTAGGGATTGTCCTTAGATTGGATTTCCTTAGGAAGTGATGATGCTTAGTAAGAGTTGAAAAATAAATAGGCATTTACTGGGTAGGGTACATGTGCAGAATGGGGGAGGGCCTACCATGGGTGTCAGGGTGGAAAGAGTTACAAGTAAAAAAAACAAAAAAACAAACAGTATGTGTGAGGGCCCCCTGGTGGGGAAGAAGTGAGCATGGCATGGCCAGAGTGACTGAAACATAGCAAGATAGATAGTGGGGTAAGATCAGGACAGAAGTAGATAGGACTCAGAACATGCAGAGCTAAAGGAAAAAGTCTACGTAGGACTGACATACCAGTGGATCAGCTGGCCCGGCTATTGATTTCTTCTAAAGCCTGTTTATCTCAGTTACCTTTCTGATCACCTCTAGCATTACATTTGTGAGGAGTAAGCCCTCATTCTGTCACCCCTTCTGGGGTGCTGGGACAAAAGGCTGGTGGTCTCTTTGTGAAACTTTTATTTCCTTCTCCTTCTTGCAACAGAGACATACCACAGACTCCACTGTCTCTGCCACAATCCCCAACAACACTCTCTCTCCCACTCCAACAATATCGTTGCCTAACTTCCCTGACTTGGAATCAGTTCCTTCTGCTGGACAGCTTGGCTTCCCCACTTGTTGTTGTTGTTAATTGCTGTTGAGTTGGTTCCAACTTTTAGTGACCCTGTATAGGGTTTCTGAAGAGCAGCTGGTGGGTTTGAACTACCAACCTGTGGCTAGCAGTCCACTGTTTATGCTACAGTGCCACACCAAGACCCATCGCTTGGTGGTGGTGGTGGTTATGTGCCTTGGAGTCGGTTCTGACTTATAGTGACCCTGCACAGGGTTTCCAAGGCTGTAAATCTTTACAGGAGCAGAAAGCCTCATCTTTCTCCCGTGGAACAGCTGGTAGTTTCGAATTGCTGACCTTAAGGTTCGCAGCCTGATTCGTAACCACTATACTACCAGAGCTCCTTAGGACCCAGCGCTTAGGCTTCCTTTTTTCCTTTAATTCTGTTAGGTTTTACAGTTGACTGCAGGTAACAGAAACCTGACTGTAGTAGCTTAACCAAATAGGAGCTTGTATTTCTTACCCTTGGGAAATAGACAGCCCACAGAGGTAACAGCAGCTTCACCACGTCATCAGCATTCATGTCGTCACTGCTCTTCCATTCTTAATGTGTGACTTTCATCCTCATGGTCCAAATGGCTATACTTCCTGAAGCCTCATGTCCACATTCCAAGCAAGAGAAGGAGGAAGGGCATGTCCACTAAGCCACTTCTCACCTCTTTAAAGGAGCCTTATTCATGAACATCTGCTGGGAAGCTGGCAAATGTGGATTTTAGAAACTGGAAACATTGCTGCCCTGAACAAAATCTGAATTCTGTTAATGAGAAAAAAGAGTTACATCAGATTCTAAATGAGATCTTTATTTTCATAGCTGGCTCACCCCAGAAGCCCAACTCAAGCTCTGCCACCTTCTACAAGCAGCTTTGATGAACAAAACTGATGTCAACTCTGCCTGATGTCATGTGATGGTCCATAAAATATGCAGATAAACCATTCCAGATCCTTAAAGAAAAAAAACAGATGTAGTGGAGTACATATAAATGATCATAGTGTACTAATATACAATTCCATGTGAAGAATTAGGTGTGTGGACCCTACATATACTGTAGTACAAAGTGGTATTTCGATATTTTCTACTTGGCCTGATCTATAAAATAACCAGATGGGAAAATGGACTCTCCAAAATGATATCCTGGAGTTAGCCAGTTGAGGTTGGAGAGATAACTGGTTTGGACTGTGTAAGTACTGGATGGCATGAATAAGATAGACTGCTTCCTGTTTATCTTGGGAATAGTCAATGGAGTAAGCTAACAACCTCACTAATATTCTTTACTCTGTAGAGACTCTTCTCGGATAATTGAAAGGAAATGTATTTTAGCCTGTAAGGCTCATCAAATTTTTAAATGCTACACTGGTAACCTGATATTTAAAAAAAAAAAAAAAAAAAACGCTCTAGATATTACTTCTTTTCAATACAAATAAGAGTTAAGACCATTCCTTGTTCAAATTCACCTATTTTCCAAAACAGGATTTGAAGTAAAAGGCCCAACGTGACCTAATGAATTAGAATGTGTCATTTCTAGCACTTTAAGTAGTTAGTTATACCTGCCTTGGTGAGGTTTGGAACATTCTTTACTATTATATCTGCTATTCAGCTTCAGCAGATATCTATAAATTTCATGAGGAATTCAAGATAGGCCAGATATTTTCCATCATGCCCTGCCAAAGATTCCCTGAGGTCCAAAGTAGGTTGTGAGGCCCATTTTCTTGTCCTCCCTGGCCCCTGGGGTCAAAAACAGTAATCATGCACACCTCATTGGATTTGGGTCCTTCTTGCCAGGTTAGGGTTGCCAGAATTAGTAAACAAAAGAATATATGACACTCAAATTTGAATTTTGTATAAACAGATAATATTTTAGTATAAATATGTCTTAGTAAAGTGAATATGTGTTTAGTATAAGTATGTTCCAAATATATGGTGTATGGGGTGTATAT